ACAGTACAAAGCCTTGCTTGAGCAGCTGACAGACATTCAAAGGGAAATGAAACTCCGTCTTTTACGGAATTCAAACATTCAGGACCGTCAGCACAGAGGCTCGTCATTGGATCCCATCCTGGAACATACTGAATAAAGTCCAGATTATCACACACTATTTCCTTTAGGTAAATTTTAATATTATCTCACCAAAGTGATTAATACTGGGATGACCCCGAAGTTTGAATTTCGACCTGGAGTCCGGCTACCCCCACTAAGGTTTTCCATTGGTTTCCTCAGTCCTTCAAAGGTAAAGTTCTGGGATAAAACCTGAACTATGCCACGACCACTTCTGTTTTCACATACTTTCCCATTCATCGTTCACAATAAAACTAACAATCGATGAAACTGAAAGTTGTCCTTAAATATACCGAAAATAAATCCACATCACAGTCTCGTTTATGCCACAGTTCTTCCAAATTTTCTCTTGCTTTGTATGGCTGTATTCAATTTTCGTTTTATACAAGCATAAATATTGTCACTTGTTAGGCGATTACAGATGGGTTTTGGATTGGTAATCGGATTTATTGCACACACACACACAACTCGTGACTACAGTTTACAGATCATTATCACGCACAGACTAGTGTCCTAAGCCATGTTTCTTGGTAACGGCTTCCAACGGCGGATATTCCCCTGCTTCCGAGCTCACGTCCTCGCAGGCTTACGACCATCTGCTGCCTTCAGCTGCTAGCTCCCGGGCTGCATTGCCTTCCACTGCCAACCTCCAACTTCAGCTGTCACTTCTTCACTACCTTCCGAGTTGGTCGGTTAGTTAACTTGCTGCTGGCCTTCGACAGCACAGTTATTCCTGACTTCAGTCTTCTCGAGATCCATGATCGAGACTTTTATTCTCTCCTAGACATAGACAGGTTTCGAAATTGGGTTTCCTGTTCGACGAAGGAACTCTGCAAAGCGAAGAAGCAGAATCGAGGAGGTAGGTCTGTCTGTGTCCTCATGTTCATATCAAAGACATCGTCAACACTTATGAATGAAACTGTACTTTAAACGGGCAGTGAACAACTCACGGAAAGCCACCCGCTCAAATGAAAGACAGATGCAGAGTGTTTGTATTAGCTAGAACACAGAGGAAGTGGTAATTCCACAAAACACGAAGAAGCCATCTCTCAGAGGCAATTATTTTTATGGGTTTAAATAACTAAACGTCACAAACGTCAATTATTTTAAGTCGGAGATGAAGGGGTCGCAACTGATGGCACGGCATTGGTTTTCTTTGATATCCAGTCACGTGCGGTGAATGAATGAACAATTAAGAAAACATCCTGAAGCAGGGAAAGAATATTTATTTATCGGCGGACAATACTAACACACACAAATGAGGTTCTTGATGAAATATATTAAAGGAAACGCTTGATATTATTCCGTTTAAAATATTATCATTCAGTCAAACTTCTAGAACACTACGGATGACGACACATAAGACTACTTTACGGGAAGAACATGGGACATGCAGTAACGTAGTTGGTTGAGGCACTATGCCACAAGCGGGATGGTCGCGAGTTCGAGTCCCGATGAGATGGATTTCTTTTCACTTAATCCTTCCAGCCGCTCTATGACCCTGGCGTAGACTCAGCCTCTAACAGCAATGAGTACTAGGAATCCTCCTGGGGGGTAAGGGGCGGCCGGCCTGTAAGGCTGACAACCTCACCGCCATCTATGAGCCGATTGTTTAGAGAAAACGTGGGAGCCTCCACGTCTCACAACCCTATGGGCCTTCACGGCCTGTTACAGGGATAGCTTTACCTTTACATTTTTACGGGAAGAACATAAATGTCATATGTTTAACAGCAGTGCTCAGGAAACTGTTGGGACTTAAGATGAAGCACGAAGGAATTCAGGATAAAACGACTATATTAAGAAGCTGGTAATGCATACGCGTCGCCCAGTATTACCACGACAGAGAAATCCATGAAGGTACAGGTAAAGTTGTCCTGTGCTTAACTAATTAAGCACTACGCCATGAAGGCGTTTGGGGAGTGGATGTATATATCCACATTTTCTCGACCTCGGCACTAGTTGGTGAGTGGTCAGCTTCATGCCCCTGCCGCTTTACCCCCAGGGAAAGAGCCCCAGGGATCCATTAGATAGGAGACAGGGTGGACCCCAGAGCTTGTCTGGACGACGTGGAGAAGAGAAAATTCTTCACCCTGCCGGGACACGAACTCTGACCCCTCGGTCGCCCAGCCCGTAGCCAGTCGCTATACCACTACGCTATCCCCCACCCCTTCCATGATGGTATAAGAGGCTAGAAATGTAGTCCCAATGGAGAGACAAACACAGGATTTGGGGAAACTGTTCGGAAAGCGACCACAGAGAAGAACAAAAGGATGTAAATATAGCATATAACACGGTGGGAGAAACGTTGTTTGTGTCGCTGATTCTGCCTGTCTGTCCGCGGATACCAATCTGTGAATCATACAAAGGAGTGCAATATTTTGCGGGCATCACCTTTCTCTAGCCTTCCCTACACGCGCGCCCCTAACAGGATAGCAGGAAGAGCTCCCTTTTCACTTTCTTCGTCATTTCGAAAGGAAAACGATATTCGGAGTCCTTCGCTAACGATTCACTTTGCATGCATGAAAAACGTGCAATATTATAAAAAAATAAAGAACTCCGTGGCTTTAGTCCGCAAGCGAACTATCCCGACCGTCGCTACCAGATTTTCTATGAAGTAGTGGGTCTGGGAACGGGGTGCACTCAACCTCGTGAGGATAACTGAGGAGCTACTTGAATGGAGAAGTAGCGGCTCCGGTCTAGAAAACCGAAATTAACGGCCGTGGTGATTCTTTGCGCTGACCACGCCACACCTCTATCCGCCAAAGTTGCAAAGTTGACACTAACTTCACCGAGAAGCGGCGGTCGCTCGGTCGGTCGGCAATATAANCAGAACCAATTCTAGGAGCCCGAACTATATAAATCTCTGGTTACGGGCCTGAAAGCAACGGTTTGTGATGAAATGGTAACAGAACACAGAGGCAAATTGCTGCATTCTGCTCTCAGATTGCTCGTAGTTGTGGGTGTGACATCGCTTGGAACATGGCGGCTGAACATGCTTGTTACACGTGACTAACCAATTATACTTTCTTCCTATTTAGCATTTTAAAAATAGCTTCTCACAGTGTTTCTGGTACATTACGAACCGAAGTCAACCTTCAGGATTCCATTGTAATTAGACACGTACATGCTCAGGTCAATTTGTTAGTATAATGTTGCCTCAGCTTGGCTTACAAAATAACTGAGCAACTAATTCCACTGAGCTGAGTTTTCTCTGATAAGTTTAAACACTTACTTCCGTCTTTAATGCAATTGTTTTTATAATTTCTCCTTAATTTAGGATAATATTAGGATTACAATTAAACTGCTACATGTTTCGTCCTTACTTGGCCATCCTGAGGCAACTGTTCATTTGCTGAAATTGCTACACTGTTCTTAAGTTAAAATATTCCAATGTTACTGCCTTTAACCGCTTCACATTAAACTTTGCTTGAGAACATGCGTCACATTCTTCTTGCGGCGTCCGTGTCTTCTGTGATGTTCATCTCTCGCAAAGTTAGTGTAATGTCCGAAATACGGGGCTATATGTGTCGATGTTTATGTCCTTCATATGCAAGTTGTCCGTATTGATTTTGTAAATGTTTTTTTTCCAAGGTATTTAAATGTCTGCCCTTCACTCCTCTCCTTACAGCATTAACAGTGTATAATGTCATTGTTTTGTACGTACTCCCTGTGTTTCTATGTGATTTGAATACCCGAAACTGGTGCTGTTGCTTCTGATGGCGTCAATGTTTTCTTTATATACAATACTGAATGTTCTTCCTGTTCTCCCTATGCATTGTACTTCAATGGGAAGTCTAGGCATTTCATTTTGTAAATGCCGCTATTGTTGCATTTATCTGTTTGTGTATGCTGCTTTAATAAATTCTGTATTGTGTTTTGTGCGCGAAAGGTTATTTTTATTCGCGTGCTTTTAAAAAGCTTGGTAATTCGTCTTACTTCTTTTCCACAATATGTAAAAGTGGCCCATTTTGTCTTATGGTGCTGGAGGCTTGTGTCTGTTTTGTTTTTATGGTTGAGGAAGTGGTTTTTCGATTAGGTTTGTGTTATATTCGTTATTTCGATTGTGTTTCTGTTTCATGAGCCGGAATAGCGGCTGGCTACGGGCTGGACGACCGAGGGATCGGAGTTCGAGTCCCGGTAGGGTCAAGAATTTTCTCTTCTCCATGTCGTTCAGACCGGCTCTGGGGTGAACCCCACCTCCTCTCCAATGGGTATGGGGTCTCTTTCCCCAGGGGCGAAGCGGCTGGGACGTGAAGCTGACCATTTACCTCCAGCTAGTGCCGGGGTCAAAAAAATGTCGATCTATAAATCCACTGCCCCATACGCCTTCATGGCGTTGTGCTTAATTAAGCATAGGAACAGCTTTACACATATATGTGTATGGTAGATACAAATGTTTGTATAACATTCTTTGCCAGTTGTATCGCTAAATCGTATGCCAACGAAAATTTCCAATGTATTATGATTTCTTGTAATTATAAAATATCGTTATTCACCCCAAAGAGGAATTCGGATCTTGTACACTGCTTCGCATTCTGTGAGGACATGGATTAATGACTGAATGTACCAATACAATAGTTCAGAATTCCTGGTTTTTGTTTGGAATTGTACCTGTTCTGAAACGTGGCGGGAGGTCTACTTATCCTGGCAGATTCTTGTTGTGTGCCTCAGCTTTTCAAATGATTATACGTACTAGAAGTAGAACATGTGTGCCTCCTTTCCCATCCCTTCTCATTCACCATAGATAATAATGTTTATACCTCACATGTTGCTATGTATCAAGCGAAAGTGATTCAGTGTGTTGTATAAGGGACCAGTGAAAGATCAACTATGTGATTCATTGCCCTACTGTTGCACTGAGAGTACCCTGTGGTTTGTTACAGGCCTCTGCAGACCAGAGAGCAAAGAAGAATCGTACGATTATTATCCGAATGATGATGATGGGGATTACGATGATGAGAAGGATGACACGTACAATGGACTGCCACCCGTAATGAAGAGCAAGCCCCTCACCCTGGAAGTGCATCCGGGCGAGACTGTGGCTCTACCTTGTGCCACTCTGAATATGAGTATGACCATATGCTAAAATTTAGACCCGTGGTTCCCAAACTTTTTGGGTTACCATCGCCTTGATTCCATAAAATCATATCCAGTGCCTCGTGCCCTGCCCTGTAAAAAGCGTTCTTCAGAGTAGCCGTTTGCACAACCCACTAAGGAAGATAAGAACAGTACAAGAAGATATGATATGTAAGATTTGAGGTTTTCACGGCGGTGAATATGAAGAAAATAGTCTTCTGGGATGTGACGCTGTGTAGATATTGTGCTAACCGACTTTTCGGAGGAAAGTATCGCCTCCATCTTCAGGGTAGAAGACAAGAATAAATCCGCGAGCGAACCAGCGTAAGCAGGTGCAACAGTGTGGAGGCGATAAGTTCCGTCGAAACGTCGGTTAACACAGTATGTACATGGCGCCATATCCCAGATGACTGCTTTCTTCAAGATATGACATGTAGTTATTACTTCCATGGCTTTTTTAGTCATCAAGCGAAATTACTGACCTAGCGACCGCCGCTTGTCGGCGAAGTTAGTGCCAACTTTTGCCGATAGAGGGTGTCGTGTGGTCAGCACACGGATTCCCACGGCCATTTATCTCGGTCTCTACTTCATTGTTTTTAAATTCTTAATACGATGGATGGGCTTGATGAAGTGATACCAGGTTATCAATTTCTGGTCTAAAGTCACTTCAGTCGTAAATGAGCGAACAATGAAACTTGAGGGAACCAACTCTAGCCCCCCCACCCCCCTACACCCCCACCCAGGTAATTCCACCGCCACACAGGGAGCGGTATGGCTCTGGTATCTGATGTTACCTATTGCATCTATCACACTGTTGCTCTGATGACCACACATGTGAGAGGTGAACTTGGGTGAGGCTGGAGGACACAGTTGAATAAGTCTTGGATAAATGGAGTGTAAGGTGGTTCATCTGGTTTTAAGATGTGAGGATTATAAACGTGATAATATAGTTTCTAGCTTCACAAAAACATGACATTTCTTAAAGAGCTGTGAAACTGTTCACATTTCAAGCCAGGCCATGCACCATGGTATTATACAGGTTACTACTCACACCCCTCCCTGCTCTGAACTGACAGGAATGGATGACACTGAAAGGAAGGACATTTTTAATCATTAAATTTATCCAGATATGAATCTATTCATATTACAAGGAATTTCAAGAAAATTACTCAAAAAATGAAAGAAACGATGATAATGGATATATAAAACTGAACATTTCCATTATATAACCCACTTTTATCAAAAGAATACAACCCCTGATTGTCTTTACAGAGGCAACCAAACGAAGATGTACTTAAAAGCCGGCAGTATACATTACACTTGCATCAGAAGATGAAAAGGGAAATGCAGTATGACAGATAAAGCTCCTTCCAGAATTCCTGCAGAGTGCTGAATTCATAGTTACAATTATATGGTTCTGAGAAGGGCGATGACCATGACTGACGTTCTAGAATGATTGTTATACATGGTGTGATTGAAAATTGTTTTGAGGCGAGTTTTAAGCAGATGCAGTTAACTGAGTAGTAGCTGCCAGCCATCATGTTATCCACACCTGAGAGTTGCATTCACACTCCAAGATGTTGCTCCACACTCGGGAATGAAATAAATTGTGTAATCACATTGTGTCTATATTAGGAGCATATATAACAACACTCTTAACTACTAGGGTAACCTGTTAATTGGTGAATGTGGTTTTTAACGTGTTGGTTGATAAGTGATTAGGCCTGTAATTTTTGTCAGTTACTGGCATTTACATGGGGGAACTGAAAAATATTACATGCTGTTTAATGATATATTGCAATGGATGTTAAAGACAGAAGGTGTGAGGTTGTGTGAAGTAGATTAATTTGGCTCAGAATATGGTCCAATGGCAGACCCTTAGAATACCTCTATGGGTTCCCTGACTGACCAATCGTACTGTTAAATAAACTAACAGCCCAATCAGGATAGTTAGCATATCCTTGTATTAACACCAAGTTCATGATAGAAATCTTCCTTAGCAGTTCATAATTATTCATCTGGTCAAATAAATGATCTGATTTTGTAACACCCAAAGAAATATTACTGTGATCACGAAATCCATCATTGGACAAATTGTAATGCTGTCGAGTAGGCCACACCCTCACACTCTATTCCTCTTAGTTAATATTAGCCTCCCATTTTTTAATTTCTCCAGTTGTTTGTTTCTGTGAGATTTCCAGCCAGAATTTAATATATATTCTCAGTGTTTACATGCATTCACATCAGTCGTTTTTACTTAATCAAGGTAACAATTGAAGCATTATTATATTGTTACAGCCCATGATTTAGAGGTATTTACTGTCATATGGAAGAAAGACAGCACACTTCTGTTTGTGGACAAGATCCAACAAGGGGCCAAGGATCCACGAATTACATATCGTAGACATAACAACTCTCTGGTTGTTACCCATATCAAACCCAGTGACTCTGGACACTATTCCTGCATCTACAGCAGTACTCCAGAAGTAGAATTGAAGCATACAGTCAACGTTTTTGGTAAGAAGAATAAGGCCTTATGGTTTGTTCGTAATAGTGAATATCCTGGTCAGAGCCTGTAGCTACATGATCTTGTGCCTAATTGGTAAATTGAAACTGTATTCTTCAACATCTAGCCAACACCTGAGAAGGGTGGAAAGACGATTCCAATTTTGAGCAAATGTTTCCCAAATGCCTTTTTTTATGTTGTGTAAATCAGTGACTTATTTCTTTTTCAAATTGAGTTCTTATATCAGCTAATCTACATGGTATTTTTACTGCATGACCATAAATGAGTTTTTAGCCTACTCTCCTTTGGCAAGGGAAGAAAGTAGGCTTAAGAGATTACTATGAGCTCTGTGTGAATCCCCCATTTAAACTTTTGAACCAGTTTACTAATATTCATAAAATGGACATTATGTCATTATAGGCAGTCCCAGTGGTGTACTTCTTAACTTACTAAATTTGGTCATATCAGCCTGGTGGACACATGAACTTTTGAGGTGGGAATGACATTTAGGCCTAATCTGATGTGCTTTCCAAAAACATAAAACTTTTGTCAAGTGTACAATATAATGTTCTTAAAAGTATGCAAAGCAGAGGCCTGAAGCTGTAGTAGTAGTAGTAGTCTTTATTTCCATAAATCCAGTACTAGAAATACATTCAGAGGATGTGGCAAAGTCAAACAAAACACATAAATAAAAACAGTACAAGGTACCAAGTCAATATACAGATATGTTAAATAATACTACTGAGATCATAAAAAACATAACGAGTATCAATTCATCCCTTCCTATCAAAAATACTCAAAATACACTTCCAAATATATAAAAGAAACAACAATAAAATACAGCACAATGCTAATCATACAGATATAATAAAATAATACAACTAAAACCCAAGAAAATAACCAGCATTGAGTTTACTCTTCCTATTAAAATTCACAAAATACTCTTCCAATACATAAAATGAGTAACAAGACTAGAATTCTTCAGATTCAATTTAAAACTGTTAACACCTTTGTACAAATTATATGAATATGACCATATCAGATTAATACTACATCTTAAAGATACTCAGAATTCTCTTCCAAAGTATAATAAATAAACAGTACAAAAGTACTAAGTCAAAGTACAAATATAAATAAATAATACAACTAAAACTCATGAGTATGATCAGTGTCAAAATTACCCTAATTAAAATACACAAAATACTCTTCCAAGGTATAAAATGAGTGATTATACAAAAATTCCTTTATCTTAAATTTAAATTGTTACTGACATCTCTGTATAATTGTTTCAGGTTTAATGGAAGACTATTGAATAATTTAATGCCCATATAATACGAGCCTCTCTGGTATAATGATAAATGAGTTGAAGGTTGATAAAGATTAAGGTTAAAACCCTGTCTAGTGTCTCTGTTATGTACATCAGATACAAATTGATATTGATCCATGTTAAGTACCACAAAGCATAAAAGTGAATAAATGTATAAGGATGATAGAGGAAGAATTTTTAAAGTGGTAAATATCTGTCTACACGAGCTTCTATTACTAACACCAGTTATTATTCAAACTACCCTCTTTTGTAAACGAAAAATATTTATGGCATATGAAGAATTATCCCAAAAAATGACATCATAGTGAATAAGTGAATGAAAATAAGCATAGTAAACCATCAACAAGGTTTCCTGATTTACATATGGTTTAATAGCTCTGATTGCATAACATGCAGAGCTAAGTTTTGGGATGAGTAAGTCAATATGAGTTTTCCAAGATAAGGCTGATATAGACCATTACAATCTGTAACTGTTTTTTAAGATTTTTTCATGTATTTACATGTATTTAACAAAATACAGGATGTTACAGTGTGTCTATTAAGTGATATGGTAAACGTCTGATAATTTTCTTGTCCAGAATGGTCTAAAACAAGGAGATGCTTTATCACCACAGCTTTTTAACTTTGTATTAGAATATGCCATTAGGAAGGTCCCCCCCCCCCAAACAGGTGGGACTGAAATTAAATGAGCCATATCAGTTGCTGGTATATGCTGATGTTGTGAATCGACTGGGAGATAACATACTCATAGACACCATAAAGAAAAAAAAAAACAAACCTTAATTGATGCTAGTAAGGAGATTAGTCTAGAAGTAAACTCAGAGAAAACTAAGTATATGTTGCTAACTCATAACTGGAATGCAGGGCAAAATTATGACATAAAGATAGCTAATAGGTGCTGTGAAAATGTGGCACAGTTAAAATGTTTGGGGATAACAGTAACAAATCAAAATTTGATTCATGAGGAAATTAAGAGCTGATTGAATTTCGGTTATGCTTGCTACCATTCAGTCCAGAAGCTTTTGTCTTCTTGTCTGCTGTTCACTCTTCAGCTGGTATATTTTTATCAAGATTTATTTTTGTCCAACACTGATCCCACTGAATGTAATTTTCCTACAATATTGTGAATTATTGCTTTACATGATACTTTACTGTCAGGATGCCTTCTGTGGAAATGTCTACAGCATTTCCTCCACAAAGGATGCTGTGAAAAGATAGCGTATGTAAATAACTTACGATCAGCACTGTATTTCATTTTTTGACACTATTTCACAGCACTGTGAACTGTATTTGTGTGTATCCCAAGGACAACTATCCGTGCTGAACAAACAGGCTATTGAGATGAGCCAATATACATCTGATAACTAAGCAGTGTTTCAGCAGTTAGCAGTGGACAGGCATGGTTAACAAAGTTATAGTCAGCCAGTATAGCCGGGATAAATTGTAGCTGAATATATATTTAGTCGTGTGTTTTGGAAAACAAGTTCATATTGGATTTTCCCTTTAAGGTAAAATAGTGAGAACTGGGCTCATTTGGTCCGGGACAAGGACCATAGGTGGGTTCTCATCATCATCATCATCATCATCATCATCATCATCATCATCATCATCATCATCATCATCACTGGCACGACAGCCCTTTGTAAGCCCTGGCCTTCCTCATGATTGCTCGCCTTCTTCTCTATTCGATGCTACATTCCTCCAGTTCTTTATACCCAAAATTCTTATGTCCTGCCACACACATTCTTCCCATCTTAACCTTGGTCTTCCCACTCTCCTGTTTCCTTCTGGTTTAGTATTAAGCATTTTCTTGATGGTTCTATTCTTGCTGGCACATAATAGGTGGGTTCTAGTGAACACAATAATAATGAGTCTTAGGATTTTATGAAAGGTGGGATATTTCTCGAGCAGCTCAGCAACTCTTAGCTTCACAAAAATGACTCTGTTGCGTGGAGTTTGTTGAATAGTCTTTTACTAGAAACACATATCAATATTGTTTTAATATTCTAAGTTTGATATTCTTGATCTTCCCATTGGAAACTGTTTTATTTTCAAGTTAATGCTGGAAAACCCAAGTCTTATCGGAAGTCATTATTTTTTTGAAATATGTGGTTAGTATAGAAATCTTGCTGACAGATCGGAGGAAATTCCTATTCTCATACCAGTATTTTTGGCTGGCAGATGTCTGTGATTATAGAACACTTTCTGTAAGTACAAGCAAATAAAATTTGATTCAGAACTGCTGGATGATGTAGTCTTGTGATCCAACATGTGCCAGTAGCTCGCCAGTGTCCTCATTTTCTGCAGAAAAGTATGATTCTGGTTACTTAAGGACAGAACTGTGTACAATTTGTAGTAAAATGTACTCACAAAAAAATATATTTAGAAATGTGGGGTTATAAAGACCGTTCATAAAGTTCTCTCTGTTTTGTTATTGTGAAAATCACGAATTCATTTTCCTGTAGGTTCAGGCTTGTGAAATTTTCCCCTCTTCTTTGCACTCGTTCCTCTGGATTCAGAGTTATGCTAGTATTGTCCATTATTGTACATTCATTATCAGTGGTGCTCTGCAAAATGAAAGATAAAAGTTGCTGTTACTGACTAATTGTTGAATTACAGCCCCAGCATCGATAAAGAGCATACAACCAAGTGGATCCCTTTCATTTGAGAAGGGTTCTGCAGTCACATTGCAGTGTAACGTTACTGGATATCCCAACCCAGATATAGTGTGGAAGAAGTTGGTAAGTGTTTATCGTAACAGATCCTTGTTTAATGTATTATGCTTTGTAATACAGTACAGTTGATTAGTTTAGGCACAAGTTACTGACTGACATAGAGTGAAAGGCCTCAGGTTTGATACCTGCCTAGATGCGGTGCAAATTTATTTACTTAAGGGTTCCTTCTCATGAACTAAAATTTTGTAAACTATGCAGAATACCAGGTTCTCACTGTAGTTTGAAATTCCAGCAGTTTGGCCTTAGCAGCGGCGTGTGGTACTATTTTTGGTAAGGGAAGTAGTGGTATCTAATAAACGAACTGATAGCCATCAACTCACCAAAATTTACATCACTTATTGAGTCAATAAGGTCGTTTTGTATTCTGTTCGATAAACCTGTAAATATTGTACTGTTCTCAAGGTGAACATTGAGTTTATGATCATATTTCCTCAACAAGTCAACTAATTCCACATAATTACCTCGGTCGATAGAATCCATGCTTTTGTCATGACCACGGAGGCCAAGTTGCCACTTTCCTAAATGGCAGATGATATCAATCAAGCGTTTCATTATTTCTCTGTGTAGTATCATCAGGTGCTTTTGATTGTCAAGTTGACAGTCAATTCGAGATTTCCCGAACATAACAAGTTGCACTGTTGAAATAATGTGAGTCTGAGAGTTCTCATGTCGTTTCAGTTTTTTATGAAGTTTATTGATATCACCAAACCCAGTCTTGTTCCATACATTTTTTTCCTTGAGAATCAATAGGCATGGTCAGCGAAACTATTTTCCTATATTATGGCAACCGGATAGCCACTCTGTTTTATAATACTGTTCCAAATTAAATTTCCTCACACATAATTTGGTTTGACCTTTAAGTTCTGGCACCTCTCATGTCGGTCGACCTCTTTCTATAATTATTTTCTTTTCAGAAAAGTCTCTGCTATTAAACCCCAGTTTTAAAAGGCTTTTGATTGCACAGTCACAACTGCGTTGTCTGCCAGCATTCGTTTTAGCTGTTGCCTGTGCGTGTAGTCTAATCATGCCCCTGCCCATCTTACAGCAATATCAGACTTGCTACCCTTAAACGCAGATAGCTTCTTTCTGATGCGTCAAAATACGATCACAAATACAATCTTATGCCATATAAATATGCACTTACAATATTTTAATAACACTTAATGTTACCTATAACACCCAACAAGACTGAAATCACACGTAAACAGTTAATTTTCATATAACCATTGAAAGAACAGATTCCTTAGCTTCTATATCACAGGCATTAGCCAGCAAACTGAAAGTTGCTTCCCTGGCCACTTCGTGTGAGACGAATTCTTATGGAGATTAACGAAGTAAACTTGGTCTATCCCACCAAGCAGGGTAAGGGAGGAGGAGACATGTGGCCTTAAGCAGGAACATGCGCTAAATGACAATATTCAAATCCTTATTATTCAAATTGAATTATTTATATATGACTTTTTTTTTTCCCGTTTCTTAACTACAGAAGCAGTGCTTCCCTTGCTTCCCTGTACGGCACGCCACTTGGCCTTAGTCACCTGCAGGACATGCCCAACCTAACTATTCATTCACTCATATAATTATCAGTTTGCATGGTGTGTGGCAGTAGAGTTTGGAGAAACACTCTGAGACTCTGAAGGAAATGCTAAGTTATTTCATCTTTGTACCGGCTTGTAGCATAGTGCCTTAACCAACTATGCTACCACGTGCCCCTGTAGATCTCAGTACAATTTGTAACTTGTACTGTAGATCTCAGTACAATTTGTAACTTGTAATCGATTCGTTTTTTCAGTAGAATGAATTTTAACAAAGTACAATAAAAATTAATTCTTTCTATTAACGTAATGGACAGTGAAATAACCAAAATCTCATTTAGGAAACAATAATTCCTGTTGAACGTTTTAAACCATACTGAATTGTACTAAGGGCGTTCCGTATATAATGCCTCCTATTTTTTTAAAGAAAACTACAACAGATACAGAAATCATACTAACGCAGTTAAATAGAGCAAGATTTCAGCTACTTACAGCTATTTTTCCACATAATCAGCAGCATTCGTTATGCACTTTTGCCATCGATGAACAAGAGCCTGTATGCCGCGCCCGTAAAAGTCTGCGCCAGCAGAGGCTAGCCTCTTTCTTACAGCTGCAATGATAGCATCGTTGTCTGGAAAATGTTGCCCATGTAGTCCATCTTTCATAGGCCCAAACAGATGGAAGTCTGAAGGTGCTAAATCGGGGCTAGAAGGTGGGTGTGGTAGAACAGTCCAGCCAAACTTTGCAATGTGCGCGGTGGTCGCAAACTGGTATGGGGTCTAACGTTATCATGTTGCAAGCGAAAGGTTGTCTGCTTCTCTGGCCTGACTCGGGAAATATGGGCTTTCAGCTTAGTCAACGTCGTCTTGTAGCATTCAGAATTGACAGTCCCTGGTCGTTATCTGCTGATCTGTTCGGATGAGGCGCTGTTCACTGTGAGGAGTGGAAGCTGAGCAGGGAAGCCCATGGCGTGGCTTGTCATGCACTTCACTTTCGCCACTGTTGAAACGCACTACCCACCGAATCACTGTGCTGACATCCACTGTACTGTCTCCGTACACCTTTAGCAAGTGTCGATGGATGTCAATGGGTACAATTTGTTCGGCAGTGAGAAATTCAGTAACACATTTCTCTTTCATATGCACTTCTATGTCAGACGCCATTTTGGTAGACTGCTCTGCTGTCGCTATCTGTCGCACGACAACCAAATTAACAGTACATTGGTGGGAAGGTTCAGCCTTTACTACAACACCACCAACATCCAGCTCAAGCGGCCTCCGTAGTCTAGAGGTAACGTTCCCACCTCATGACTCATGGTACGCGGGTTCAAATACCCGGTGGAGATCGTCGAATTTTTAAGGGCAGAAAAATTCAGGGAACAAGTCCTTCGGGAGGGACTTTAAGCTGTGTGTCCCGTGTCGTAACTTTACGGCATGTAAAAGAACCTCATATCCCCAAAGGGGATCACTGAGCCAAATTCCAGGACGTTTCCTGCCTAACAATAGTCTCTAAGGCCTCTGATAGATGGGGGAAGCATTATAGATACCGCTAAGCAAGTGGCCGAACTCGCTTGCTCGGCGGGACTGATGGTACGCACCATTTATCGGTAGGGTATAGAGACTGGTAGAATATCATAGAGGGAAGCACAATAGAGCAAACTGCTCACGGTGCATGGGGAAACCCACCCTCTCTAAATAACTAACTAACTAAACATCCAGCTCAGACGTTACATATTAGCACAAAAAAATAGGAGGCATTATATACGGAATGCACCACGTATTTGTAGGAATTCTAAGAAAGCCCTACTTTCACACAGTTGCTTGTTTCTGACTGTGGCAGTCCATGGTGTGGGATAAGGGAGAGACCTGACAAGGTGCTTTCCTCACAAGAGAAATGTACAAACTGATTATATCATGATTTGCTTTCAGGGGAAGCATGATCAGCCTGATGCAACTGTCATTGCAACCAGTGAAAATATCACTCTTAATTCTGTAGAACGACTTGACTCTGGCACTTACGAGTGCATTGCCAAAAATAATCAAGGACCTGAAGTATCAGCGCAAGTCTCTATTCATGTTACATGTAAGTAGAGAACAAGTTTATGACTGTGCCTAGAATTAAGAGTTGAACTGAGTCAAATGAAACACACATAGAATTTGATATGCAATCATCCCTCTGTATTTAAACATGTTGTAGTTTGTTACCAAGCTCACAGCAGTATATTTTCACTTATTTTCTGTGGCACATCTTTACGAATGTTACAGAACTTTTCAACAATTTAACTGCATGATACAGTGCTTGCTTCAGTCCATTCCTTCTTATTATAACAACATTTCACAAAGTTTAGAATTTTTTTTCTTATTTTCTCATGCAGTCTTACTTTGGACAACTTAATGCATTCCTGAGAGTGGGTTTTAACTAAATTATAAACTGAATTCATTATAAGATGAAATGTATAGGATTATCTTCCTGGAGCATGAGGCTCAGACCGTTTTTTAATATTTTAATTCCCATTACACCACAGTTCTCTTCTTTTTATTATGCAATCAATGAAGGGAGATCAAACAGCATAGTATTAAGCACTTAAGTTATTAAAAGTACTTTATTGTACCACTTATCAATATAACCTCCGTCGAGTGTAACAAAGTGTATTCTTGTCACTATTTTTTACATTTGCCTTACATGTTTCGGCTCACAAAGAGCCATCATCAGAGGCACCCACCACAAAAACATAAAACCATAAAAAACAATTCAAAATACTTTATTGTAAATATGAACTAAGTATTTTATTTTGCATAGTTAAGGGTTATGATTCAAGCTACAAGAGAATTTATGAATTTTATAAGCAATTAAATCAATATTTTATTGAGATTTAACACCTCCAGTGTGTCATTGTATACACACAGGAGACCTTTGATTGTGGAAGAGTTGGAAGGGACTTGACTTGGAAGAGGTTGCTAGAAGAGTGGTTACTGGGGTGCTGGGCTTTTTGAAGAAGCTGTTTGAGATCAGAAGCTTTGAATTCTGACAAGCAAATCCGAAAATTTGGAGTGTAAATCTAATAGGTTTTAATTTAATTGGATCTTAAGTCCAGAAATTTGTAAGTTGGGAAGTTGTAAGTTGAGTAAAATTGCATTTTAAATTTATTGTGAACAGTGAAATAATGACAAAACATAAATCAAAAGTACTGACTTAACTTTTAAAGAAAGATAGACTATGCATACATGGTCTGACAGTATAGTTGGCGAACTCATCGTGATAAAAGTGCTACATACCTCCTGCTGAATATCACTATGGTTGCCTTCAAAGTATTCTGCTTTGGAAGCTATGCACCGATGCCAGCTCCTAGTCCACCCGTCAAAACAATTTTGGAACTGATTTTGTGGAATGTCCTTCAGAGCTGCCGTTGTACTCGTATTACTCCCAATGTTATCAGTGTCATCAAAATACCTTCCTTTCAATATTCCCTTTATCTTCAGGAACAGAAAAAAGTTAATTGGTGCTAGATCCAGTGAATAGGGAGGGTGTTGCAGCACAGTTATTTGTTTACTAGCCAAGAATTCCCTCATAGACAGTACCATGTGAGCAGGTGCATTGTCCTGATGCAAGATCGGTGAGTTGTTGACAAAATGTTCAGATTGTTTCCACCCAACTTTTATGCAGCCTTTTCAGTAATTCCAAATAATAAACTTGGTTGACTGTTTGTCCAGTTGGTACAAACTCATAATGAACAATCCCTTTAATATAAAAAAAAGTTAGCAACATTATTTTGATTCTTGATTTGAAGTGATGGAACTTTTTTGGTCATGGAGAATTGACAGTCTTCCATTCTGAACTTTGCCGCTTCTTTTCAGGATCATATTGGTAGACCCATATGATGACAAGATCCCAAATGTCATCTTCCTGTCCAAAATTTCTTGGCAAATTTCAGTTCTTCTTTGCTTTTGTTCTTCGGTGAGCTCCTTTGGGAAAACTTTTGCACACACCTTCCTCATGTCACGATCTTCAATTAAGATCTCCCTAACTGTTTTTCTTGATATTCGCTTGCTCTGCTATGCTTCTGACAGTCAGCTGATGATTTTCACATGGAATTTGATGAAATTTTTCAATGTTTTATTCAGTTCTGATGGTTGCTGGCCTTCCTGATCTCTTGTTGTTAGGGACACTTTCTCTTCCCTCAGAAAAACGTATCACCCACTTGTAAACTGCTGTTTTTCCCCTGTAAACTTGCACTAATATCTCAGATTTCGCTTCCACTCCTGCCAAGTTAACAAGAAATTTAATTTTTGTTTCGGCAGTCTCGCAGTGGCACACCAAAACACACTCAGACAACAATAAACGCCACTCAGAAGAGACTGCCATAGATCAACAGCAGTACAGCTGTGAAACGCTGATATGCCAGTGTCATCAAACCATACTGATATTTCTGTCTGCTGCTGCTACAGCAAGCACACGGTGCGAGTTCGCGAACTTTATTGTCAGACCTCTTATTGAGAGTACTTATGAAGTGATTTAGCTTTCAGAGACTTTATGGCAAAAGAATTTGTGGTTATGAAATTCCTTTACTAATTGAAAAAAATTGAATGTCAGAGTAAGGTGGTTATAAGGTTGTAAAGAGGCTGACCACATGGATTAGCTGCTTGTACAAAATTTGTATTAATAAAATAATAATGGCATATGGTGCTGAAATGGTTCTGAAGTACAGTACATTACTCTGTTAAGTGTACATGGATGAAAAATAAATTGTTATATAGCTGGATTTTAATAAAATTTAGTATTTGTGTTACAAACCTCACTTCACCTAAAGCTCACTGAGCATGTAGGCATAAGTGATAATGCCTCTTGACTTGTTTTTGAGGGGTGCCATTTTCAAAACTTGGCTGGGACTTTCAATATCCTGGCTGACTTTTTTTGTTTTTTCCTTAATCTCTTCAGGGAGAGTACTTTTAATTAGGCCATGATCACTTCCTTCCATGTTCTTCCCATTTGTTTTCATCCAGTCGTTTGATTTTCTTTAGTTTGAGTTACTCATAGCATTGTTAAATAAATTACAAATAAATAATAAATAAATAAATACATGAAAGTCAAATCAATCCATGATTTTTTTCTCAAAAATGGCAGCTAGTAAAAAGAGTTAGTAGGTGACTTGAAAAGTAAATCTAAGAATTAACAGCTTTTGTATCAGACTATAACTATATGATACAGTACAATGAAAAGTAATACTGTGCCATTAGCTTCTGTAACAGTGGGTTGGTATCTGAAATAAATGAATATTGAAACCAGTGAAGTTTTACGAAATCACAAGCAACATGTTTAAAATATAACCGTATTATATTGGAGTACAGCTATCAGCTCTTGTTACAATAATAGCAAGTATAAAATCATGCGGAAGTATTATGTCTTTCACAACTTTCCTTATAGATCTATGTCTTTTAATGTTTTAACTGCTTTGCCTCCCATGTTTTCATACAACAATGCTATGTGTCTTCCAGTAACAATTAATATTCAGATATATGCCAAAACTTGATTAGATATCTCCTTCATGCTTAATGATGTTTAAATGTGAAGTAAAATTCAGATCAGCAATTTTAGGTATTCCTTCTTCTGTACTTAATGTTAAACTCATTCCCATGGCCTATCCTTTCCATACACTGCTGTCTTTCATGCAGCAGTCTACAAATGATGTTGGCCAACAAATACTTATTGTAGTGTTACATATATTTTAACACAACTGGAAAAATAACATTTTGGAACTGGGGTTTCTTCATTTTGTTTCCTTCTAGTGACTGTATATTTTGTGTAATTTGAAGTTGTGTTGTGTTTTTCCTCACCATCACAATGCAGCATGTATTAGTGTGATCATAACTAAATGATAGAGAAAAGGATTCCAAACTCCCCATTCAGTTTCCACAACCATCTGAACTAGGCAGGCAGTGTTATGTTACAGGCCCCAGAATACTGAAGGCTGATATGTATTTGACTGGGTATATCATTTGCTCTCCTGCACAAAGTTTAATTGCAGATGTTCAGTGTTGAGTTTTGTTTATCAAGTTTTAATACCACAGCAACATGTTGGTTTGTAAATGCTAAATAAACAAGCTTAGACTTGGCAGTGTTAATTAAATTTGTGGACATTTATTTATAAGGTACAATGAAACTGATGTGGGAATGGTCCTCCGAGAATCCATTGTTGTTTTACTGGTCTGAATTAGGAAAGGGTTGAGAACTGCTGCCATAAATAATCCTGATATCTGAGCTCTAACTTTCCAGGGAAGTGTAATGTCATTCATTGGCTCTCATTTCAGATGCTCCTGAAATCGATATTGATGAAGAGCTTGTGACATCAGGAAAAGATTATGAAGCAGTATTGAAATGTGTTGTGCATGCAGAGCCCAAAGCAAAGGTTCACTGGATGAAAGATAATGAGTCCATAACTGATGATTCAGGTCGTGTGAAGACCTTTAGGGAAGGCAACAAATTCTATTATCATATTGAGAAAACCCAAGTTTCTGACTTCGGCAGGTACAAGTGCATTGCATCCAACAGCATGGGGACTACCAACTCGAAGGAAATTGAACTCACTGGTATGGTTTAAAGTTGATATTATCAGAATTTAGGGGTGTGACTATAGATGGGGTATGGATTGAATAGGTGATTTATTGACTACTTGTATGCACCACCCGGAAATACACTTTGCAGATCATTGGCACAGACTAGTGTCCTCAGTATACTACAGTCTCCACAAGCCATTTCCTAGCAACGGATTTAACATAGGAATTTTCACAGTTGCACTCTTGCAACTAACTCTTTTCTTCACAGCTTCCTGTACAGAACTTTTCTCAACTGCCAACCCTCAACTGACTGGATTGACTTAATTGTCTCCCTTAAAACCACTTTACATTGACCAAATAGAAAACACCGTTTCCAACAATACTGTGTTGTTCAGTTGTCCAATTTATTTACGTTCCATAATCCAGATACAAGTAGACACCATAGGATATGGAAGAAGGCATGTTTACTGATCTGTTGCCTAGAAATGGTTTGTATAACATTGTTGTTTTGTTGTTGCCTGCATGTATGTTGTGGGTGTTACCTAGCAAGGGGTGTATACACCACAATATCATATAGTTAATACCCCATGTATCTTTATTTTACATAAAAGATGTTGGTACTCATACATGACACATTGACTTCTATTGGTGTTTGTGATTGAGATGGGTGTCCTGACAGACATTGGGTTTGGATATGAAGAAGGAACAGGTTCCTTAGGTGTTTTAACAAGGTTGTATTTGTGCAGAGTAGTATGTTGAAAATGCGTTGTTTTGCAGGGAGACCTTTGACACCACGTCTCATCAGGGCCACTGTTGGAGCTGATGGCAGGAGCCTCGATGTAGAGTGGCATATCATCAGCTACTCTCCAGTTCTTGAGTACAAAGTACAGTACAAGAACATAAAGGCAAGTTCCATATCTACCTACATGGTGGAGGCTAACAATAAAACACATCATTATCACATGTTCCCCATTTTCTTGTCCTCGTTTTTTTCATTTCTTTGTTTTCCTTATTCTCTTTGTGACCATTTTCATCCAATTTTCATACCTTCTCCTCTCTGGGATACCCACGTTAATACTGATCAATAATCCAGTGCAGAACCTCTTAGTTCTGTGGGGGTGGATTGATAAAGAGCAGCAGACCATTCTCTGCAGGATTTATTGTTTTAAGTGTGCAGGAATGGGTGTCACTCCTGAAGTGTACTGACCGAGAATCAACAGACTTATGTTTCAATATCAAGGAAAGGAAAAGATGTCAGTAGAAGAGGTGGAAGAAGTAAGAGTGAAAATATATCTTTTATGAGTAGTTGCTGGGGTATTATTGATGATTGAGTGGATAGAGGTGAGTATGTGCTTCAAGGCACATACATACAATGAAGATTGACGGAGGTCTGGTGTTTGTGGTATACAAAGCAAGGATATTAAAGGGCTCGTAGGACATCGCAAAAAAATAATTAACAGAAATTGCGGCAAAGGTGAAATCCATGGGGATTAAATTTGATCAGTTAAAACTAACATTTGAGGAATGGTAAAAAATGTAAAGCTGATCCAAGAAAGAAAATAAAGAAGTGAGAGGAGAGGCAAGAAAATTATGGCTGTAGAGTACAGTTTTTAGAAGATGCTCAGAGGAGGAATAATTTGATTTTGGGGGTGGAGGAGAGTGGGAGCAAAATGTATGAGAAGCCGTCAAAAAGTTCCCGGAATGGTGGTATAGCACTCTAATGGTAGGACATATGGTGACGCTTACCTAATCACCTCCATCGATCCTGCCATTGTTGGAAGTAGTGGTGGAAGGCTTCTTTTGATATCTTTCGGAGCTCAGCCATTGCATTCGATTTGATGTCCTCCATAGTTGCGAAACGCGTCCCACTGAGGCCCATTTTCAGAGTAGGGAACTCGGAGCGAGATCCGGAGAGTATGGTGGTTGAGTGATGACAGGAATGTTTTTCTTGGCGAGGAATTGCTGCACAACAAGCGATGTGTGGCTCGGTGCGTTATCGTGATGCAGAAACCGCTGTCCCTGCCACTTGTTGCGCCGCTTCCTCCGAACCGCATCGCGCAACCTCTGCAAAACTTGCACATAGAAATGGCCAGTAACAGTACCAACTTCTTGCTCCAACTCCGCGATGCTCATTCTTCGATCACATCGAATTAGTTGTCGCACTTTTCCAATCATTTCTTTGGTTCTGGATGTCGAAGGTCTCCCGCTGCGCTGGTCATCCTCGAACGTCTACACACGATTCATGCAACAGTGTATTTGAAGCTCCCATAAATTTGTGTGTTTCAATCCAATGATGCGCTCACCATTTCCACTTTTTCTTCATAGCAGTCTTTTTAATCAAGTCATAAGCAGTGATCCCACAAACAACTGCTATTTTCAAACATCTTGAGGGCTGACCCATCTAATGAATACCAAGTGGTTCTTCCTATTCAGTCTAAAACCATGAATCTTAGTGTCGTGTAAAAATAATGGCTGTAAAAAAATACCATTGACCCTCTATAGTTAGTGGATGAGAGAGAACAGCTTTAATACTTGCTAAGTGAAATTTAAATTTATCTAATTTTAGAATCCCTTTGTCATGTACACAGTGTTCATGCAGTGACTAAAATACATGAAATTTAGCATACTTTCAGGGTTATGTTTCCCCATTGCAACTGGCACAGATTAGCATCTATTCCTAACATTTATGACTTCTTATGAAAGTATTCATGTAATATAGTTTTCAGAAATGTTGACTGCAGTTTTTCAATACATATTTCTTAATACTGATAAAATGCAGAAAATGAAGGTGTTCACTGTCAGTCTGTTTTCTAGCCATGTCATCACTTTATTATTATTTTTAGCACTCTGCCAGATTTTGGCACCGCTATTTTACAGGAACCGTCCATGTTTCCTGAGTCACTTCTCTTGTCACATGGCTCTAAGTTATTTAGATGTCTTCCCATATATCACAGAAGCTGTGATGTCCACTAAGATATTGCACGACTGAAATTTCCACCTCTAGATCCATCAAAAGCTGGCAGGTCATCTGCTTCTAAATTACTTCTGAGTTCATCATGTGCAACCTCTGTGTCTTGTTTTGGAAATGTAATTAACCGTTCAGTGTGGTTTGACATGTATGTTTCGTCAGGTATTTAAATCGTCTGCGGGGGTTCGACGTCTATGTTTCGTCCAGCTGCACACCTATGTTATAACGCCCATAATAATTGATGGATTTGCTGTAGATTGTTAGATTTTTCATTGGCCTGTTGTCAGGAGTACCGTATTTAATGACACATGAGTTTAGCTGCGCTAATTCATCGTTACATATGCCTGTCTTGCAGCAAAGTTCCTGTTGCTCTTGGGAGAGGTTTAGTTGGTCCAACTGTTATGGATGGCGTGTTTTCTTTCCTATGAAGCTATAAACAGCAGAGACGTGATATGTGCTGTGTTTATAATATTGTCGCATATCGGGCGTATAACGCGACAAATAACTTCACGATGTATTTGATGTAGCGAATTTTATTTCACGTTCGCACTTACAATCACCCAAATCACAGATTTACGGTTACTGCTATCTGCAGTATCACAATTAGTACACTCCAAATGCCAGAATACCACTGACTAGTTGTTGGCTAACTCGGCGGTAGCTCCAGGACTCACTGACTGACTCAGTACAACTGACTGTGAATAGCCTTCGCTGCTCCTTATGTAACCTCGATCGGACAATACGGCCACGTAATAGGCACCCTTGTTGCCTGGCGCTGTGTTGCTATGTAACGCTAGCAGAAGTAACCGCTGTTACTACCGTAACGTCACCGCTGTTGACTCGCGTTGCCTAGCGACTGCGATATCCCTCGGTGACATCACCGCGGAGGGGAGTGGCGGGGCGGGAACTCGCCTATTACCGTAGTAACGCGAGCGTTACGTTACCGCCACGTACCGCTGGGGAGGTAGGGGTCAACATGTCACA